TTGTAGACTTTGTTTATAACGTTTTGGCTACGTTTGGAAGAGTGTGATATTAATGACCAATTCATTCAAATATTAATTCGAAGAATAATGAAATTTATCAAGACGAGAAAAAGACAACTTTGACGGGATTTGCCAATATTAATTTCCTTTAAATTGCAATTTAGTCAAGTGCAATGTTAAAGTATTATATTTGCATTGGAAACGCGTTTGGGTCAAAACAGCACAGCCACTTCAATTCATGCACTTAATGATGTTTGAGAGTTTCTACTTTGACTTTGTAGCGTGAAGAAAGTTTTGGTTTTGTGGAAATTAAGGTATTTTGTTTGGTTCTACACGTTAAGTAAAATACTAATTGTCTCATTGCATAATTTTTCTATAACATTTCGAACATGTTCAAGATAGTGTGATGTTAATGGTTAGTTCTTTCAAGTGTCATTTCGAAGAATATATTCTAGTAAATTACATTTTCAGTGAAGGTAAAAATTGTTATTAAAAATATAAAATTATCACTAAGTAGTAAAATTTACAACTGACGAGATCAATAAGACAGAGATGCATTTGCCAAAGTTTCCTTCAATTTACAATTTAATTAATTACAATTCAAATTGCGTTTGGGGTAAAACAATCACTGGCAATTTGGGTCACGCATTTAATGTTGTTGGGTGGCCCTGATAGAAAGTAATTGAAAAAATTAACTCATATTTGCTGGACAATGAGTTTCTTTTGTCTAGTTTGCAGCGTGAACAAAGGTTTTAGTTTTGCGGAAAATAAGTTCTTCTCTGCTTGCTTTTACACACTAAAGAAAATATTACTTGTTTTATTGTAAATTTTTCTATAACGTTTCAGCTATGTTCGAGAGAAAGAGTGATGTTAATGACTAATTCATTCAAATGTCAATTCGAAAATAGTGGAATTTATCAACGATGAGAGAAAGACAATCTTGACAGGACTTGCCAAAGTTAATTTCCTTCAATTTACAATTTAATTAATTACTACTTATGTTGATGCATTTGCTTTTCTCAAATTTAGTTCATCTTTATACCTTTGAGATTCAATTCTTGATATTTTGCCAATGCCAAAACTCTTCTCCTGATACCCATATAGGAACCATTTCAGCATAGCCATGGGGATTTCATCATTATTCCTCATAAAAGAATATAAAGAAGCTAACCTATAGAATAAGATAAAAATTAAAAAATAAAAAATTGATTCAAAAATATAATATTTGATTAGGATCAATTTTTTTCTTATTTGATTTGGTTTAAATTCGGATATTTAAAAATTTCTAATAACACAACTACATTGAATATATAGCGTGAATAAAATTTTAGTTTTGTGGAAAATAAGGTCTTATGTTTGGTTTTACACGCTAAGCAAAATACTAATTGTCTTATTGCATAATTTTTCTATAACGTTTCCACCACGTTTATAGAAAAATAAGGGAGAGTATGATGTTAATGACTAATTTTTTCAAGTGTCATTTGAAGAATATATTCTAACAAATGCATTTTTATCATAAAAATATAAAATTGTCACTATATAGTAGAATTTACAACTAATGAGATTGAGAAAGATAGAGAAATAGAAGACCTTGACTTCACTCGCCAAAGTTTCCTTCAATTTGCAATTTAATTAATTATAATTGATAGATGTTGATGCATTTGCTTTTCTTTGTCCTACAAATCTTGATCATTGGAGTAAATGAGTGGTCTTTTTTTTTTAAAATTTTTTGAGCAATATATTTGATTTGCAATGAAATAATTTGTTTTTATTATTTGCCACGTAAAGACATTGTCCAATAAAATAGCATAATGATTCTATGATATCTTGTTATTAGATTTTGTCTGTGCATCAGACTATCTGTTAGTCTCCACTTAATCGAATATTGAATAAAATTTTTAAAGTTTTTATCAAGGTTGATTGCTTATTATGTTTAATTAAATAATTTTGTTATTTAATTTAAAATATATTTAAAAATGTTAAATTATTAATATTATTTTTTAAAAATATTTATATAAATATCAAAAATGAAATTGATCGATTTGCGCCGAACATAAAATTTTAATTGTGCTAACCATAATTCGAATTTTTTTAGATAAAAATGTGAGAAACGATTTGAAGGTTTCTTATTTTTAAATTTTATCTTAATTAATATTTTTAAATAAGCGTTAACTAGTATTAAGATAATAAAATGACAGAAGTTGGATTTGAAATGTTGGTAAGTGTAGTAAATATTCATTTTTGTTTTAAAGAATATAAAAAAGAATATAAAAGATAAAA